CAAGAACAACAGTAAGTGCAAAATCAACAGAGTTATGTGCGTCTGTTATAATGGATGTTACTTTTAGCTGTTGATGAACTTTCAGGTTTATCATCCACACTTGGTCCAGAATGATTTTCAAGACACAGTTCGATGCGAGGTTTCTGTGCAGGAGCTATATCTCCACCTTGTGTCTGGGCTAACCCCTTTTTCCATGCTATTAGTTTGAGAAATTCTCTTAAGACAGATATAGGTAAAGTAAGAAGGGTAATGAATGACGCGACGCGAGAAGCATCATAGGGCTCTGAAGCAACTCGGCGACTGAAATAGTCACATATCTCTCCAATTTCAGACTGAGTTAGTTCCTCTTGAGCAGCCGAGGAGTTTTGCTGCTGCTGTTGCTGCTGCTGGTGATGGAAGCGCTTCACACTAAGGACTTGAAGAAGAAGTTGAACTCTGTGAACACTCACAGCAAACACATAGCCCCTGCAGAAAGATACAATCAGATTACAGAAAGTTATGCTTGAAGGGATTCAGGATCTCTAGAACACACATATGGCATATTAAAGCTACCAGGCCCTTTTTCACCAAAAAGAAAGGAATCAGCTATTCTGACTCTATTTCCACGTGCAAGACAGACATATAGTTCAACTATCTGCGAGCAGCATAAGAGAATCCTTTTTATATTGATCTGTTACTATCCTAGTCAGCAATTACAGAATAATTTAAGATAAGATATAGCAGACCAGTTAATTATTCTGTTTCAGTTTTATTTTTAGTCCTAGTTAGTAATTACAGAATCTTACAGATTAGAAGTAAGCAAGTGATCTGTTTCAGAATTATTTCTAAAATATAAATGCTCAGTTATGTCAATTTCTTTATAGTTTCCTAGGAGCAGCTTTCGGGTTTGTATTGGATGTTATTTTCTGCTTTATTTTTCTGTAACCTCTACTATTATGTAATTTACTGGAGTTGTTCATGGAAAAATGAAAAGACATTTAGAGAAAAGTTACAACTCTTTTTGGTGCTTAACTCTTGGAAGTCTTTTGTCTGTAAAAAAAAAAAAGAAAAAAAGATTTTGGAGATATTTCGGTTCTCTGCAAAGAGTCTCAGCAATATCAGTCAAGATAGGTCAGAAGGAAGAGGCAAAAAACCAAAAGCATTCTGGTATTTCCTTAATTTTAGTTTCCTTGGGACCTATAACCAGATTTGGGGGGCAAAACCTGATAAACACAAAATCAATTATCAAATAAGTTGCAAAAATTTAATGTAGTTTACTGACAAAAAGAGTACGCAAGTTTCAAGGACAGTTAGAGCACCAAGGAAAGTACAAGTTAAAAATTGTTCATGTGGATGAAAATCATACCGCAAAGTAATTAAATTAACATGTAATCAGCATAACATAATAGTACCCATGCACTCTTGATAGAATACATTCTAGAAGAGAATAAGAACTACAAAACAGAAGATATGAGAGGTAAAACTGAGTAATGAGTAAAGCATATAAGCTAACACCAGTTATTACTGACATACCCCACAAAGAAGCGTAAGGCAGGCTGTTCCTGGTCCAAATTTAGTAAAGCACCTTCATTGTCTTTCAAAATTGAGCCCAATATCTCTTTCAGAAGATCAGGCAACTGAGCAAATAGCCACAGCACTCCAAGGTACTTGAGAATACCTCTTAGAACCTTCTTAAGAGCAACAAGTGGAACCCACCCGCCTCCATATCCCCCATCATCACCAAGACCAATAATGGCTGTATTTAGCTCCCCTCTCACATGGGCGGGAACACCAGTACCTGGGGTTCTACGTATAGGCAATCCTGAACTAACAACAGGCAATGATGAAATTGCACTCCCAACACGGTTCAAACCAGCCACCTGGTTTGCTGCCCTTGCCATCACAGCAGAGGTAGGAAGGTTAACTCTATTTCCATTGGCACTTGATAGTTGTGAGCTCAAACTTGGATTTGCATGGGTTCGAGGTTGCCAGTCCACCTGTCTGTTGACCACTAGTGAAATTTGGCTCTAATCCATTTAATTCTTGAGCAACATGCTCCATAATGAAAGGCCTAAACTGTGGACACGGCAATGACCCTCCAACTGAAGAGCCCCCCTTGGGTGGTGTTGCTGGTTGCAACCAAACCTGGTCACCAGCAAAGCATCGCATGTCTACTGCAAAACGCTTGCGATATATGATCCGTATCCAGTAGGGTCCACGAAGTACAACAGAAACATCAATTGGTAACAGTGAACTAGGAACAATGCCAGGGCCAACGCGTCCTGCAGCAGCTAACATTGCAGCCCCATGAAGACTGTGGTTCCCAAGAGAGGCTGTAGAAGTAGATGCAACAGGATTCCCCATAGATCCAGAAGTGGCCTGATTAACATTACTGGTTGAAGAACTGCTAGGTAGAAGTCCCTGGGCTTGCATGTACCCAGACTGTTTTGGGATAGCAGTAATAGCTACACCAGGAGCTCCTGGGGCAGGACCAGCTCGAGCAGGCCGTGTAGCAGCAGCAAGAGCATGCAAAGGTCCTGCAGTGAGGCGAATACAGTCCAAAAGGGACGCAACTTCTGCTCCATTTATGAAATCTTCCAAGAACTGGACAAAAAGGCAAAAGCTAGTCAAAATTAAATCTGAACCCAAAATTTATGAGAAAACAGAAGGGAAAAAAAGAAGTAGCCAATAAGAACAAACAGATCATGGAACTGCTACAATCACGCACTAATGACATGCAGTGACCAAAGAATCTCGATTAGAAATTAGAAACAGAAAGTTTTCCCGTTGTTTTTCGCCCATGAAAAGTTGGTTGGGCCCATCTCATAAATATTGACCAATAACTGGTTTAACATTTTTGTCAAGACTCTGCTTAAATACACTATCTTTTTGTCAATACTCTGCTTAAATACACTAACTTTCTTGTGTAGGAAAAGAAAGGGAAGGACAACACAAAAAGGCCACTAAGTAATCCTCATCCGACATCCAAAATAAAAAAAAGCTTAAAACAAACTTCAGAAAAATATAGCAGCCCAGGTAGCTAAAGAAACCCCAGAAGAGACTGAGCCTCGGCGGCCCAAGGCCAAAGGCCCACATGAATGGGGGAGACAGAAAGCAATCAGTAAGAACTCTGGTGCTCTGGTATTCCTTTCCACCAAGCACCCAAAAACCCCAGCAAAAATAACTCCTGTAACTTTCTTCTTTTTCTTAAATAAAGGATGGGCAGACTTCATGATGCCCCGTCCATTATTCCTTTGCCCCATAGGAATGCATAATGACAAAAGTCTGGACCTAGACTTCATGAATATTTTTTTGTAATAACATTCATCACTTGTAAACCTTATACTCTAGACATATTACCAAATCCAAATTTTTTCATCTGTTATGTCCAACTAAAGAGTTTACAAGCAATGAATGCATCCAACAATTTCTCTGTTAACTTCTAAGCATTGTACATTTGAAAACTCCATTTTCTTCTCCAATGTTGCAATAAGCATTGGACTCAATGGCACAAACCAAATCTATTCAATCCTGAGTGATGGTTGTTATTCAAGGCCAAGTATGAAACTAGAAGCACCATATAATCACACATATCAGGTTACAGAGACAAACAATAAAGAAAATACGCACCTTTGTATGGGGCCAAAGTTGATCAGGAGAAACATGCATTGTGCAACCGTCTTTACCAGATTCCCATTCCACAACAAAGCGCGCAAGTACACCCGAACCGAAACTAAACCAGAAACTCATTAGTCCAACTGCTTCAATTCTAAATGCTCTCCTCATTTGTTCAGATAACCTATCAGCAGCCTCCCCATTACCTTTTCCTCCAACTGGTGCTTTAACATCAGGATTCACACAGCTTTCTTCCAGTTTCTCATCTGCTCTTACTCCAAGCAATTTTCGCATTCCAAGAGCAAACATTCTTGCATTGGACAGCCTTCTAATATCTGCCACCAACTTCTTTATACTATCAGCTTCAACAGATTGATAACTTAGAACAACACCTTCTGAATCATAACGGATATGAGAATCCACATCAGAAGTATTAGCAATGCGAACACCAGAGCCCCACGGAGTGCTCTTGCTTCCCTTCTGAAGTTCCCACAAATCCCTGAAGTGTGATCATTTATTTTGACATCCCAATACATACTTCCAGGTCTGCCAAGCCGTAAGCATATATGTTGCCATGAATCACCCCGAGCAAATGGAAGTCGGAACCATATATTTGAGGAAGCACTTCTTACACCAACTTCCTCAACATATGAGATGTCCAGTGCCTCCATCTGGCTAGTCAGTCTGGCATGCTTAATACATAATGAACAATGTCTGACCACATGAAGAAGAGCAGAGACATAAATGCTAGAAGGTGCTTTCCCCTTATTTGCTTCAGCTATGAGACTCCCACAACTGTATCCATCAATTTTAGAGATGACTGCACTTGACACATGTGTTACTGGTGAAGGGTTCTGATTCTTAGCAGATTCAGAGGTTCTTCTTCTCTTGCTAAACCCAACATTGGCTTCTAGAGCTTGAAGTGGTGGAATCAAACCCAACATATCTGAAACTGTACGTTTTCGAGAATTTCTATCATGTTTGGAAAAAATATAACTAGAAGGGCTATTATGAAAACTTGTCACGTCGCCTGTCTGGGCTGCAAAAAAAAGGCATTTTGCTTGTCAAATACTGCTTAGAATCAAAATGAACAGTCAAATCCACAGTGCAGATAAACTTGGAGAAGGTATCTTACATACGGGAGGTGAAGGTAATGGGCTAGATCCGGCAGCATTGAAAGATCCAGGAAGGGATTTTGTACTTGATGCAGAGACCCGGGGACCAGTTGACCTAGGCGGAGATAGTAGCCGAGATGATCTACTCCCTGATAATGCATCTTTTGAAGCATCATTTAGCAATCTCAGATTATCTTCGTCCATTGCACTTCCATCAACTGAATGTGGAGATCTGAGAGAAGCCAAATCCTGATCTGATTTCGAAGCTGACAGTTTCTTCGCAGCTGCATTCCTGCCTGGGACAGATGATAGAGAATTCAAAGAGCTAGAGTGTGCTGGGCCCTTCACATTGCTCGGTGAACATAAGGGACCATTATAGTGATTGGTCATACCTGAAACCTTTGGCATCTGCATACTGCCTTCCCACTTAGGAGGGGGTGATCCAGGTTTTACGGCCCGAAGATTCCCTGGAACAGAGGCAAACTGAGAAGCAGGCGATGTAGTAAACGATGCTAGATTCTGTACAGGTAATGGTGCTGCAGATGTCCCTTTCTCAATTTCAAAAACTTCATCAACAACAGATGAGAAACTTGAAGGACATCCAGCAATCTGAGTCGAACCATCATTGTTGAACTCAGATATAAGGCTATTACCCCCAGTTTGGCTTGAACCACCAGCATTTGGTAAAAAGGACAGTAACTTCCCCCTGTCAACTATACTTAAATTCAGTTCATCTTCAAGCATCTGCATCTGGCCAATATCAATTTTCTTTGTACGGATCACATTCTTTAGGTCATTCAAAGAATGAGCCCCTCTAGATGGATCTGGCTGAGTCTCTAGCAATTTAAACATTGGTTTAAAATCCTTATCAAGTTCCATTAGCAAAAAATAAGAACTCCCACAATCTGGAAATCCCATTAACATCATAGTTGAACTATTTGAAATGTTCTTGGGTAACTTCACTGTGGTAAAACCATGTTCATAAACCTGCAAGAAGTAAATCCTAAGCCTCAGTATATAAACACTTAAGCAATAATAAAAAGTTAGTGTTGCTACCATGTAGATATCTTCCTTTAATGCAAAGGTGCACAGGGGGGAGCAGCAGAAAGTACCTCTAGCCCTAAGAACCTTCCAATAGCAGCAAACAAGTGCAAAATACTTTTGCTTCTCAAATTTATGAAAACTTCAACTGCAGTAATACTGCCCAGATTTAAAGCTTCTTCACAATCTAGCAAAGCTGATGGTGGGAGAATGTTCTGGGAGGACTGAAGAAGGAAGCGGCCATTCCTGGAAGTTAAAAAAGTATCGAGACAAAGCATTAAGGGCAAAATACTAAGACCATGTTTACTCCATTGAATATGATAGGATACAAGAGAAGGAGAAAGAACCCATGAAATTTCTAATTTTCCAGAAATAAATTATTACCTTATATTTATTCCAAGGGCAAAAAAAGATGAGCCATAGGCACGCACATATAATACTTCAGGAGCATTAGATTCCCTAGCTTCTGACCAAGAATCTTTCTGGAAAAAAAAATAAGCCAAATGAACAAGAGAAGCCACTTCATCATAAATCCCAAGATCATGAATTGCAATACCCAATGCATCAAATGAACAGTACCAAACTGCTGACTAAGATAAGCAAGGGTCAA